AAGTTGGCTGCGGGGCGGGGCGGGGCGGCGCACAGCTGGCGGAGGAAGGGGTTAAGTTTCGGGAAGCCACCGGATGACGTTGCCGGGCTGGAGTCCGGGCCGGAGGGTGGGGGTGCTGGCGGAAGGCGGCGGGCTGGCTGGGGACGAGGGCGGATTGAATGGGTGACCTCGGGCCCAGCGCGCTGGCCTGCGGGCCGCGGCCACCAGACACGGCGGCGGCCCCGACGGGGCGGGCGGGGACCTCGGGATACGCCGCGGGTGCTGTCCGGGGTCAGAAGCCGGCCGACGCGGTGGCAACTTCCCGGAGTGCGGGACGAGCCTCCCTGCTCCCCCTGGCGGCGGGGCCGCAGCACCGTTTCCCCTGCGGGGCCGCGCGAGGGTGCCCGGCCGTAGCCGAGGCCATCCCGGGTCCTGTCCGACCTGTCCCTCCCGAAGCCACGATGAATGGACCGGCAGTGCCAGGCCTGGGCGGAAGCAGACACCTCCGGCCCGGCCGGTCAAGCGCGCTGGCACCGGGCCCGCTCTGGCCCGCCAGGCTCCCCGGCTGCGCCCGGGGCAAGGAGGCCGCCGGCCGGTGCTTCAAGCGGAGTTGCTTTAGAGACACCCCACCCCCGTTTGCGAATTGTAAACCACCAGCTGTAGCTCTGTTGGTGCTACGCTCGGTGGACGGTACTTGAACCAAGTCATTTTGCTCAAGGTCTCCCATTTCCCCATCTGGAAAAACGGGGTTCCTGATTGCCTCTGCTTGGGAAAACATTTACAGAGTGGTTAACTAGTATTGATCGCCCGAGTATGTTTTAAGGCATGTGAGGAGACAAGCGGGAGGGGGGGGCGGGGCTGGCGCGCACCTGGCTCCTGCAATTACCTGCTGTAGTCACTAAGGGCTGCAGAAGTCACACACCTGGAATTCACACCTAGAACACCTGAGGCTAATGTCTCCCAACCTCTCTGAGTTTCCTTATCTCTAGCATGGAGATAGTACCACCCCCTCACAGTAAGGGTCAGGGGAACTGGGCAGGAAGTGTGGGATCTTGTGCAAGCCCCAGGCAGTTTGGCAATAGCTCCTGGGGTCAGAGGTCAGGACCGGCTGGGAAGCACCAAGGAAATGAAACTTTGGCGGCGGCTCTGTGGAGTCTCCCACATCTCTATTTGCTTAGTATTCATTCAGTGTGTTTAAGCCCTCTGGTTAGTGCCTGGGTAGTTGTGGCCAGTAGGACCGCACATTTAACACAGACCTGTACAGTAAAGTATTCTCAAACCATCCCCACCACCTCCTTACAGTTTCCCAACTGTCCTTGTTTGTTCATCTGACACACACAGAAATCTTTGTGATTCCCCAGCATGCTATGTAACTGGGTACTGTCTTAATTTAATGTGTTAATGAACTTCCCAAAGGGCAGCCCATTATGGTCTGCCAACTTGTTTCTCTTTAGAAACAGCTTCCTGTTCTGTGGACCTGGAGATGCCACTTCCCTCTCTATTTCAGTATGAGAGGAGAGAGAGGTCAGGGGAGACCTTAGTAAGTTTCCCTTTAGATGGCAGGGCAAGCCTGGATAGACTGGCTTGGGCCACTTGAGGCCTAGAAGAGTCTGAGATTGGGAGATCAGTGCAAGAAGGGATCTTGGGGTTTGGCAGGAAAGGGTTTTCAGTGCATGGAGCTGTGGGCATGTTATAGCAGCGCTCTTTTCCTTTCATGTTTAGCACTTGACCTCTGACCACCTACAAACAGACTAAGTGCTATTATGATGTACAGATATTTATTGATGTGAAAGTTCCCACCCCTCTACCCCCTTTTTGTTGCAGGTTTTACATAGTCCTGGCTGTCCTCTAACTCTATATAGCCTAAGCTGACTTTGAACTCCTGATCCTTCTGCCTCCACCTCCCAAGTTCTGGGATTACAGGTGTGCTCTACCACACCTTGACTTGATGGGAAAGTTTTAAATAAATCTGGAATCAAGTGACATTTGAGCAATTATGCTCTTTGCTGCAATGAACCCTAACTCTGCATGTTACAATAATTATATAGCACCAAACTTACTTTAACTGGTTGAATGCAAGTGATTTAATTGGAATATTGGTTTATTATGTAGCAGGGATACCTTTTAAAAGTGCAGGACCCTGCATTCTTACTTGTTCTTTTATCCCTGGAAGTTTAACTAATAGACAAATGGCATAGGGATAGAGCCAACAGTCCTTGTGATTTTTTTGTCAAAATCTTGTTTCCAAAGGGGGAAATGTCCATTTCCACATTTGGATTATGAGCTGTGCTGTTCCTCTATATCCTGGGTCTGTAATGGTTAAGGCCTCGAAAGTTTCCCTTTCCGTGGAGCAGTGTAAATGTGGACTGCCTGGCTTCTGGATGAGGCCAAGATTGGGGCTCTTAGATTTTGAAGTACAGGGTTTCTGTAATTCATCTGTCTTGAGAAGAGAGTCACAGATCTCAAAAGATAAACAAAGCTGAATGCAACCTAACTTTTAAAGGTTTGCTATTTAGAATCATTTTTCCATGATTGATTGTTTTAAGATACCATACTCCTATGTTTGGGGTAGGTATGTTGGTTACCCATCCAATAGATGAGAATATAGAGGCCCAGCAGGTTTGGGGGCTTATTCTTGTTGCTCCCTGCTAGGTGGCAAGGTTTCAGCTTTCTGAACAGTCTATACGCCATATAACTACCCTGCTGGGACAGTAATTACCTGAGGGAGGACACAGAACTAGAGGATTGAAATGCAGCATTTCAGTGGCAAGAAGGTGTAGAGTCAGATGAAAATTTGGCAGTGCAGGAAGGCACTTTAAATTTCATTTCTTTATGAACAGCCTCTGTTCTAGGCTTGAAAACTCCATACATATAAATTCATGACATGTAGTTTTTTTTTTTTAATTTATGTGTATGAGTATATTGCCTGCATGTAAGTAAGTGAACCTGTGTCGTGAAATACCAGTGGAGGACAGAAGAGGCTGTCGGATCCCCTGGAACTGGAGTTATGGACAGTCGTTTGCTGCCATGTGGGTGCTGGGATTTGAACCTGGGTCTTCTGTAAGAACAACCAGTGTTCTTAACCGCTGAGCCACCTCTTCAGCCCCATGACATGTAGTTCTTGTGTGAAGAAGCTGTGTCTACAACAGCATTGTCCAGTAAGTACCACAGCCGTATAAATTTAAACTCAAAATAGTTAAAATGAAAATTTATCATTCCATTTCTTTACCACACTGCAAATGCTTAGTAGTTGCTATGTAGATTGGCATTATTCCCATCATCTTGAGAAGTTTGACCAGATAGCACTGGGTTTGGATAGCTGCTATTCTCTAAAGGTTCAAGTCCCTGTTCCTCCTGATCACCCCTGGAAATATGAGATGCTGAACCAGGTGAAATGTCCATTCTTTCTGTCAGAACAGATGATTGGTGGCAGTTCATACACTTCAGCCCAGTAGGATGTCATCTTTAGAAAACAATAGTCTCCATTCTGTGTACCTATGGAGCAAAAGGGGTAGGGCAGGAAGGCAAGAATTTTTACCTAAAGCATCAAGATGACCAAATGTATTAAACACGGGGGAAAAGAAAGTAGGTACTATATGGGAAATATAAGGAAAGTATTTTATTCTAAGCGAGAAAGCCTGGGCAAGGGAGGCCACTTAGCATTATAGAATATTAACTCAGGAACTTCCTAGGGCATTGTTTTCTTAGACAAATGCTGAATGACTCTCTTGAAAATGGCAAGCAGACACCCAAGTTTCAAACTAGACACACCTTATGTTTTTCCTTTAAGTGTTGGTAACATGTATCTCTCACCTTTCTCAAAACGAACAGCAACTTTGTAAAGAATGTATTATAAATTCTATGTTTCCAGGTTATTTTGGCAGGGATGGCATGCCTGCCCGGTCCCCAGCCCTTTCACATTCCAGTGTACTGGAGTTTTCTCTTTCGGTGGTGTAAATCATTTCCTGAGCACTGCAGTGTCTGTTCACAGCTTCTTTTATATTCCATATGACTTTGAAAGATCACTGGGCCTTAGGAAGAATTTGTGAATTCTTGGTTGTACTCATGGTCTCATATCAGTCAGTACTCTGTAGACTGACATAAAACTGAAGTTTAGACCTGGGAGTTGTGGCATACATCTTCAATTCCAGTTCTCTGGAGGTAGAGGCAGGCGGATCTGTCTGAGATCGAGGCCAGTTTGGTCTACATAGTGAGTTTCAGGCCAGCTGGGGCTACAGGAGACTCTGTCTTAAACAAACAAAACACAAAAGGCAAAACCCCAAACAAAAAAACCCAAACTGAAGTTTAAAGAAAACTACCGGTGATAGGCAGCTAGTTAATCTCTTGCTGGTCAGAGAGGAGGCCCACTGAGATTGTGCCAAAGTTATCATCTATTTATAGTGATAATGAATATCATCAGATGACTCAAAAGTTTGACTAAATGACCATTGTGAACCCAAACCTTTAATTCTGTACCCTAACCCTGGGTAGGCCGTAACCAGACAAGGGTCTATGTTAGGATGTCTCTAGACAGACTCCAAACCGGTGCCTTTGTGGTTGGTTGGAAGGAACTTGGAGCAATTGGCATTTATTCGACCAATCCCATGTATTAATTAAACCGCCTTTTAAAAACAGATTTTTTTTTTTTCCTATTAAAATTTAGGTTTTTTTTTTTTAAGATTTTCATAAGAAAAATGAAAATTCTGTCTGGTTTCTTGTGTGGCATCTGTGAGCTGTGGCTGACCTCT